TATATAATAATATATAATATAATTTAATATAATATAATATTATGTAATAATAAAATAGATAATATGATATAATATTATAATATATATAATTTAATTTAATATATTATAATATAATATAATAATATATAATTTAATATAATATATTATAATATAATATAGTAATAAAATATATAATATGATATAATATAATAATTTATGCTCATTTTTGTATATCACCCACACACACACACATACACACACACGCATGACGCAGGACACTTGCGCCAATCTCTTCTGGTGCTGCAGAGTCTCCAGCCGTGGTGAGGACGATGGATCTCCGTCCGTGCAGAGTCTCCGTGTCAGGTGTCCTTAGTGGCCCATGGTGGCCTCGAAGTTTTATGGAGAAAACTAGTGGTGAAACCAATGAATCCAGTCTGGTTGGTGGTTTGGAATATTTGGATTGTTTTTCCATATATTGGGAATGTCATCATCCCAACTGACTTTCATATTTTTCAGGGGGGTTGAAACCACCAACCAGCAATGTTCTTCATGTTTAATGAAATTTCAAAGTTCTTCATGAATGGGGAAACCAATGAAACCAAGAATCTAGAGATGAAAACGAGTGGTTTCCCTAAATGAGCAGTGGCTGCGATCCACCCCTGTTGGTTGATGATTAGTTGGTACTTAACAAACCTATAGGTACTTAACAAGTTAAGCAATTCATGGTGTTTTTAGGCTGTTGCTGGTGATCCTATCTCGGAAGGAACTTCCGGGGTCAACCGGCTGTACAAGCAGCGGCAGAAAGGTGCACTGGGGCTGTTGAGTGGAATTGGGGGCAGTTTGTACGTGCTTGTCAGCAATACTCTTGAGCTGAAAAAGAATTGAACAGACACCGTTCTTTATTGGAGTTTGTGGGAGTTCTTGACTGCAAATGGGATAACTCCTAACATCATCGAACATATACATGACAATACATGACATACCAATGGCAAAATTGATCAAAATTGCACTTTTGAGCGCAGAGGCCTCACTCCTTTTACCTCATTTCACCAGATGTTTGATTGATTCCCCTTGCAGTTCCAGACAATGATCATGTGCACATCATCAGTTGGCAAGTGATTTGCAGGCCATCCGATCAATCCGATGGCTCCCAAGATGAATCACCAAGGACACAACGGGGAGGTCTTGTGTTTCTCTTTGAAGAGTGTCGTGGTGCTGGTGACATTGTGATCCTATCTCGGCAGGAACTTCCGGGGTCAACCCGCTGTACAAGCAGCTGCAGAAAGGTGCACTGGGGCTGTTGAGTGGAATTTGGGGCAGATTGCACGTGCTTGTCAGCAATACTCTTGAGCTGAAAAAGAATTGAACAGACACCGTTCTTTATTGGAGTTTGTGGGAGTTCTTGATTGCAAATGGGATAACTCCTAACATCATCGAACATATACATGACAATACATGACATACCAATGGCAAAATTGATCAAAATTGTACTTTTGAGCGCAGAGGCCTCACTCCTTTTACCTCATTTCACCAGATGTTTGATTGATTCCCCTTGCAGTTCCAGACAATGATCATGTGCACATCATCAGTTGGCAAGTGATTTGCAGGCCATCCGATCAATCCGATGGCTCCCAAGATGAATCACCCAGGACGCAATGGGGATGTCTTGTGTTTCTCCTTGAAGAGTGTCGTGGTGCTGGTGACATTGTGATCCTATCTCGGAAGGAACTTCCGGGGTCAACCGGCTGTACAAGCAGCGGCAGAAAGGTGCACTGGGGCTGTTGAGTGGAATTGGGGGCAGTTTGTACGTGCTTGTCAGCAATACTCTTGAGCTGAAAAAGAATTGAACAGACACCGTTCTTTATTGGAGTTTGTGGGAGTTCTTGACTGCAAATGGGATAACTCCTAACATCATCGAACATATACATGACAATACATGACATACCAATGGCAAAATTGATCAAAATTGCACTTTTGAGCGCAGAGGCCTCACTCCTTTTACCTCATTTCACCAGATGTTTGATTGATTCCCCTTGCAGTTCCAGACAATGATCATGTGCACATCATCAGTTGGCAAGTGATTTGCAGGCCATCCGATCAATCCGATGGCTCCCAAGATGAATCACCAAGGACACAACGGGGAGGTCTTGTGTTTCTCTTTGAAGAGTGTCGTGGTGCTGGTGACATTGTGATCCTATCTCGGCAGGAACTTCCGGGGTCAACCCGCTGTACAAGCAGCTGCAGAAAGGTGCACTGGGGCTGTTGAGTGGAATTTGGGGCAGATTGCACGTGCTTGTCAGCAATACTCTTGAGCTGAAAAAGAATTGAACAGACACCGTTCTTTATTGGAGTTTGTGGGAGTTCTTGATTGCAAATGGGATAACTCCTGACATCATCGAACATATACATGACAATACATGACATACCAATGGCAAAATTGATCAAAATTGTACTTTTGAGCGCAGAGGCCTCACTCCTTTTACCTCATTTCACCGGATGTTTGATTGATTCCCCTTGCAGTTCCAGACAATGATCATGTGCACATCATCAGTTGGCAAGTGATTTGCAGGCCATCCGATCAATCCGATGGCTCCCAAGATGAATCACCCAGGACGCAATGGGGATGTCTTGTGTTTCTCCTTGAAGAGTGTCGTGGTGCTGGTGACATTGTGATCCTATCTCGGCAGGAACTTCCGGGGTCAACCCGCTGTACAAGCAGCGGCAGAAAGGTGCACTGGGGCTTTTGAGTGGAATTGGGGGCAGTTTGTACGTGCTTGTCAGCAATACTCTTGAGCTGAAAAAGAATTGAACAGACACCGTTCTTTATTGGAGTTTGTGGGAGTTCTTGATTGCAAATGGGATAACTCCTAACATCATCGAACATATACATGACAATACATGACATACCAATGGCAAAATTGATCAAAATTGCACTTTTGAGCGCAGAGGCCTCACTCCTTTTACCTCATTTCACCAGATGTTTGATTGATTCCCCTTGCAGTTCCAGACAATGATCATGTGCACATCATCAGTTGGCAAGTGATTTGCAGGCCATCCGATCAATCCGATGGCTCCCAAGATGAATCACCCAGGACGCAATGGGGAGGTCTCGTGTTTCTCCTTGAAGAGTGTCGTGGTGCTGGTGACATTGTGGTCCTATCTCGGCAGGAACTTCCGGGGTCAACCCGCTGTACAAGCAGCGGCAGAAAGGTGCACTGGGGCTGTCAAGTGGAATTGGGGGCAGATTGTACGTGCTTGTCAGCAATACTCTTGAGCTGAAAAAGACTTGAACAGACACCGTTCTTTATTGGAGTTTGTGGGAGTTCTTGATTGCAAATGGGATAACTCCTAACAACATCTAACATATACATGACAATACATGACATACCAATGGCAAAATTGATCAAAATTGTACTTTTGAGCGCAGAGGCCTCACTCCTTTTACCTCATTTCACCGGATGTTTGATTGATTCCCCTTGCAGTTCCAGACAATGATCATCTGCACATCATCATTTGTCCATGATTTGCTCCATCCGTCATCCGATGGCCTCCCAAGAGGAATCACCCAGGACGCAAATGGGGAGGCTTGTGTGTTCTTCCTTGAGAGTGTCGTGGTGCTGGTGACTTGTGATCCTATCTCGCAGGAAAACTTCCGGGGTCAACCCGCTGTACAAGCAGCTGCAGAAAGGTGCACTGGGGCTGTCAAGTGGAATTGGGGGCAGATTGTACGTGCTTGTCAGCAATACTCTTGAGCTGAAAAAGAATTGAACAGACACCGTTCTTTATTGGAGTTTGTGGGAGTTCTTGATTGCAAATGGGATAACTCCTAACATCATCTAACATATACATGACAATACATGACATACCAATGGCAAAATTGATCAAAATTGTACTTTTGAGCGCAGAGGCCTCACTCCTTTTACCTCATTTCACCGGATGTTTGATTGATTCCCCTTGCAGTTCCAGACAATGATCATCTGCACATCATCAGTTGGCAAGTGATTTGCAGGCCATCCGATCAATCCGATGGCTCCCAAGATGAATCACCCAGGACGCAATGGGGAGGTCTTGTGTTTCTCCGTGAAGAGTGTCGTGGTGCTGGTGACATTGTGATCCTATCTCGGCAGGAACTTCCGGGGTCAACCCGCTGTACAAGCAGCTGCGGAAAGGTGCACTGGGGCTGTCAAGTGGAATTGGGGGCAGATTGTACGTGCTTGTCAGCAATACTCTTGAGCTGAAAAAGAATTGAACAGACACGGTTCTTTATTGGAGTTTGTGGGAGTTCTTGATTACAAATGGGATAACTCCTAACATCATCGAACATATACATGACAATACATGACATACCAATGGCAAAATTGATCAAAATTGTACTTTTGAGCGCAGAGGCCTCACTTCTTTTACCTCATTTCACCGGATGTTTGATTGATTCCCCTTGGCAGTTCCAGACAATGATCATCTGCACATCATCAGTTGGCAAGTGATTTGCAGGCCATCCGATCAATCCGATGGCTCCCAAGATGAATCACCCAGGACGCAATGGGGAGGTCTTGTGTTTCTCCTTGAAGAGTGTCGTGGTGCTGGTGACATTGTGATCCTATCTCGGCAGGAACTTCCGGGGTCAACCCGCTGTACAAGCAGCTGCAGAAAGGTGCACTGGGGCTGTCAAGTGGAATTGGGGGCAGATTGTACGTGCTTGTCAGCAATACTCTTGAGCTGGAAAAGAATTGAACAGACACCGTTCTTTATTGGAGTTTGTGGGAGTTCTTGATTGCAAATGGGATAACTCCTAACATCATCGAACATATACATGACAATACATGACATACCAATGGCAAAATTGATCAAATTTGTACTTTTGAGCGCAGAGGCCTCACTCCTTTTACCTCATTTCACCGGATTTTTTGATTGATTCCCCTTGCAGTTCCAGACAATGATCATCTGCACATCATCAATTGGCAAGTGATTTGCAGGCCATCCGATCAATCCGATGGCTCCCAAGATGAATCACCCAGGACGCAATGGGTGGTACTGGTTTTTGGGACGTGAAGAAAGGCGGGTGGCCACGATTTTGTTGATACCGATGGCCTGAGTGGCTTGTTGTTGGTAAATCTCACACGTTTGAAGCGGCACAGAGATTCACAATGGTCAGATCAATTTCCAACTTGTGCCATTTACGAGCATGGTAAGAATGGTTCGTCTGTGTTTTTGTTCCTTCTCAAAAGCAACCAGAATGCCATTATTTTATGGTTAGATCGTCTTAATCCAATCATTGCCCAACTGTTAACCCCCATCCAAAAATCGACCATTTTAGTATTGAAACCTATGGTGACTTACCCGGCTGAGTTTGGGGAAGGTCCTCACTGGATTATCTGGATGGATATACACACTTAATATCTACTTATATAATCTTATATATGTTCATATCTTGTTAAGTTAAACGCGTATCATTTCATTGTGTATCTATTAAGATCACATTTGGATAATCTTGGATTAGACACATGTATAATAATTACAACTTTTTGTTTGCACTGTATGTGTATATATATATACATTATTACAACAATATATTATCAACAATACATGTATGGAATGTGTACTGTCCTTTGCCAACAAAATGACCCACGTAAAGGTGAATACTCCATAGATAGAGCACACTGGTATTAGTTTATTGATGTCTATGGTTGTTTACCTTGATAAGATGAACCACCTGATTGTAAGCCAAAGTGCGTGTTGGCAGCAGTAAACTATGACCTTTTTTTAATGTAGCTGCCGTATTTGTTGTATGTGCATTCATCGTTTGCTTCACATTGATTATCTTCAAATCTGCCCGGTGAAAACATGTTGTTTCGGGTTGCTTACTTGGAAGTGCAGTTCCAGTTTTCAAGTGGATAGATTTCAACATAATTAATTAGTTCGGGGCCCCGTATCCCAATTTATGGTGGTTTCAACGATTGATATTAGCTAGTTTCATAACCCTCATTGCATTCCCAAGTCAGTTTTAATCCTATTCATGGAATGATAACCCCATTTGGGTTTGTCTGAAAATAGTGTACCCCTAAACCCAATGGTTAATGATCATTATCCCTATTAAATGGCTATAATTGGGAATATACCCTATTTTCAGACAAACCCATTTATAGCCATTTACAACTGGCGTTTGGGACTTTAAGTGTGGATGGGTTTATTTGACCGACCTTCAAGCACACCCTGACCTCAAAACATGGTGAGGACACGGCCATCCGATGGCGAGTCACAAGATGAGTCACCCAGGCGTGGGTGAGTCTGGGGAGACTGCAAGTGGCCCGCACCTTCTGTTGATTTTGAACAATGAGTTTTTTTCCCCACCTGCCAGGTGAGGGTTGTTAGATTTTATGTCAGTTGCCTCCTCCTCCTGCCTCCTCCTCCTGCCTCGTCCTCCTCTCCTCCTCCTCCTCTCCTCCTCGTCCTCCTCGTCCTCCTTGTCATCCTTGTCGTCCTCGTCGTCCTCTCGTCCTCGTCGTCCTCGTCGTCCTCGTCGTCCTCGTCCAACTGCGACCCGCGATCCACAGTGTTCTCTGCCGGACCTCAACCACGACCATCCACGCCCAGTGTTCCCTGCCGGACCGCAACCACGACCATCCACGCCCAGTGTTCCCTGCCGGACCTCAACCACGACCATCCACGCCCAGTGTTTCCTGCCGGACCTCAACCGCGAGTATCCACGCCAAGTGTTCCCTGCCGACCTCATGTAGGAGATATGGGACAAGATGTGTCAGAAGAAAGTTTAGAAAGAATGTCAGAAAGAATGTCTAAGATATGCCAGAAAGTATGCCCAGATATAATGCCGAAGCTAGTTCAGAATATATGCCAGAAGATATGCCAGATAGAATGCCAGATAGAATGCCAGAAGATTTGCCAGATAGAATGCCAGAAAATATGCCAGAAGATATGCCAGATAGATATGCCAGAAGATATGCCAGAAAATATGCCAGAAGATATGTCAGAATATATGCCAGAAGATATGTCAGATAGAATGCCAGAAGATATGTCAGAATATATGCCAGAAGATATGCCAGATAGAATGCCAGATTGAATGCCAGATAAAATGTCAGATAGAGTGCCAGAAGATATGCCAGATAGAATGCCAGAAGATTTGCCAGATAGAATGCCAGAAGATATGCCAGAAGATATGCCAGATCATATGCCAGAAGATATGCCAGATAGAATGCCAAATAGAATGTCAGAAGATATGTCAGATAGAATGCCAGAAGATTTGCCAGTAAGAAAATGTATAAATGTCATGGTGGGGATCACACGAAGTAAAGTAATTTGTTTTTTTTGGGACAATAGGTTTTAAACATGTTGGCGCCAAACCCCACGTTCGCCCACACCCAAAGAACACATCCAAACAACAGCATTTACTTGTCACTGGTCATCAGAGGATGGATGAAAACACTGGTTATACGCAACGATTTTGACTTTAGGTTTTTAGGATTTAGGGTTTTAATTTGGGGCCGATTTAAGTTTTTAATGATTTCAGGGTTTAAGGTGTTTTTGGATTTTAGTGTTTTGTTTGTTTTTTTATTTTATTTTAGGTTTTGGAAAGTAACAAAAACGCCAGCCTTACGGAGGGATTTGAGCATGTCAAAAGATATGCGGGATCCGATGCGGGCAAAAGTGGGGTTTGCAGCGAACACGTTTTCACCATTTGAACACGTTTTCACCATTTGATTCACTTGATGTTGGAGTATTTGTGCAGTTATATATATAATATATATATATATATTTATATATATTTATAATTCTATATATATATATATGATTCTAAATGATTTACATATACATATGATTTTCAGACAAAATCATGTACGATTCTTCAAAATTCCATCCCTTTCAGACGGAGTGGCATTGACCAAGATAGGAAGGTCAGGGTGTTGTTTTCCTAGAATTGGTGGATGGAAACCCTTGACATAGGGGGTAAAAACAACACATTAGTTTGTATGTTCTTCTAATCCAATCAGTCTTGTCCAAGATATCTATTTTTGTTGACCCTCTTAGGGTTGGCGCGATCCCGTTGGCATCAGCAGGAACTTTCGGAGTCAGCCAGCAGCAAAGGCAGCGGCTGCAAGGTGCACTGGGGCCCTGTGGAGTAACCTCCAGAAGTCACCAAGTATTATAATCCCCATAAGGTGAAACTGCAGCCAAAACAAGCGGAAGATTATCTGAAAAGAGCTAGGCTATAATGGTATGATGGGTGTTCAAGCATATAGGGTGAATGGGCAGGCTCCTTTGACCCGGAATATTTGGGTGTCAAGTCATGTGGACGCGCAAGAGTGGGATGTTTTCTACGAAGAATGTCTACAAAGTGAGGCCTTCTAGATAGCTGAGTTGGTTCATTATTCCAAGCACTGTGGTTTCTGCGACTTGTAACTATAAAGTTAATGGCTTTCAAAAATAAAAACTTGTAACTGTGGGGCCCCCACTTTGCAAGAATCTTGAAAATCTATGGGTCGCACAGTCTATCCACTTTGCTGTTTCCATGTCTTCGTTGCTGTTTACATCTCGATTTGGCCGGCGGAAAGCAGCCTGTGTCGGGTTGTCAGTGAGGACATGGCCATCTGCCTCCGAATCCCAAGATGAGTCACCTAGGCGCGGGTCTGCGAACTGCATACCCATGACGGATCCATGGTGCTGGTAGAAAAATGCTAACATGACTGGGGTATATTGATGGGATCCATGTTAGCATAGCATACATGGATCCTATGGGATATGTTTAGCTGAAGTATAGCGAATTTCTACGGATGTCACCATTGATCGCATGATTATATATGTATAGGATTTGGGGAATCATCCCAAAGTGACCCATGGTGGAGCTTTCTTCAGTCGGCTATATTATATCGCCAGTTGGAATTGGTGGTTGAAAATTGGCTGACAATGTCAAATTATGGAGTTTGTTTTGCCAGCACGACATGAATCAGGAAATGCTCACAGGCATTTTTCCCGAATGCGTAGCAAGGGTTCCCGTTTCACTCTGGGGGTCTGGGGGTTGAGGGTGTGTTCGCTCGACGTTGCGTTCGCGAGCGCAACCGTCGCAACCGTCCGCAACCGTTCGCGCGATCCCCGTATGGCCGTGCCTATGGGAAGTTCTGCAGAGGTGGTAATTTTTGGAGGTTTCAGACGTCTGGTTGCTTCGTTTCGCGTGGCAGGCGTGGCACTTCGTGACATTCAGACGTGTTCTGCAACGTGTCGAAAGTCGTTTTGCGTGGCAGGCGCAATACTTTTGCGACGTTTTCAGAAGATGTGTTGCAGTTTTCGTGGCAGGCGCAGCACTTTGGGCGTGTCCATCGTCATTTTTCGTGGCAGGCGCAGCACTTTAGACGTGTCGCGTTGCGTGTTTTTTGCAAATCGCATTGGCAGGGCTGCGTCAAGTGGCGACAAGGTGCAAATTCTGTGGCAGGCGTGGCATTTTCTGACATGTGCTGAAAATTGACGGAAGCCTCGCACGAAACATCGATTTTGAGGTTGCAAATTTTCAAGTTCTAAGGAAAACTCGTAGGAAAACGTCGATTTTGAAGCTGCAAAGTGTGAAAATTGGAGGAAGTCTCGCACGAAATGGTCGTTTTGGTGCTCCCACCTGTCTCTTCTCGCGTGTCTGGTTTTCCCGTGGCCTCGCCGTGTCTATGGGGGAAGCTGCAAAACTTGTCCTTTTGTTATGTTGCCAATTGTGAAAATTGGAGGAAGTCTCGTACGAAATGCTGGTTTTTCTGCATCCACGTGTCTTGTCTCGAGTCGCTGGTTTTCCTGCGGCGTCGCCGTGTCTATGGGGGAAGCTGGAAAACATCTCCTATTCGAATGTGTCCAAGCAGGTTGTCATGTTGTTTTGCGTGGCAGGCGTGGCACTTTGTGACATTCCAACTTGTTTGATAATGTGTTGAAAATGTCAAAATTGGAGGACGTCTCGTACGAAATGCTCGTTTTTCTGTACCATGCATGCAACTCGTCTCGCGTCTCTGGTTTTCCTCTGGCATCGTCGTGTCTATGTGGGAAGCTCCGCACTCCACACTCTACACTTTACACTCCACACTTTGCACTTTACACTCCTCACTCCTCACCTGAGACTTTACACTCCACACTCCACACTTTACACTCCTTACTCCACACTTTATACTCGTCACTTTACACTCTACACTCCACACTCTACACTTTACACTCTACGCTCCACACTTTACATTTTACACTCCACACTCCGCACTCTACACACCACACTCTAGACTTTCCACTCCACACTCCACACTCTACACTTTACACTCCACACTCCACACTTTACACTTTACGCTCCTCGCTCCACACTCTACACTCCACACCCCCACTTTACACTCCACACTCCACACTCTACACTTTCCACTCCACACTTTACACTCCACACTCCACACTTTACTGTACACTCCACACTCCACACTTTATACTTTACACTCCTCACTCCACACTCCGCACTTTACACTCCTCACTTTACACTCCACACTCCACACTCTACACACCACACTCTACACTTTCCACTCCAGACTCCACACTCTACACTTTACGCTCCACACCCCACACTTTACACTTCACACTTCACACTTTACACTCCACACTCCACACTCCACACTTTACACTCCTCACTCCACACTCCACACTTTACACTCCACACTCCACACTTTACACTCCTCACTCCACACTTTACACTCCACACTCCTTACTTTACACTCCACACTTCACACTCCACACTTTCCACTCTACACTCCACACTTTAAACTCCACACTCTACACACCACACTCTACACTTTCCACTCCGCACTCCACACGCTACACTCTACACTCCACACTCTCCACTTTACACTCTACACTTTACCCGCCCTCTACACTTCACACTCTACAATTTACAAACTCCACACTCCTCACTCCACACTTTACACTCCTCACTTTACACTCCACACTCCTCACTCCACACTTTACACTCCTCACTTTATACTCCACACTCCACACTCCACACTTTGCACTCCACACTCCTCACTCCACACTCTACACTCCACACTCCACACTCTACACTCCACACTCTACACTTTACATTCCACACTCCGCACTCTACACTCCACACTCTACACTTTACATTCCATACTCCACACTCTACACTTTACACTCCGCATTCTACACTTTACACACTCTACACTCCCCACTCCACACTTTACACTCCACACTCCTTACTTCACACTCCACACTCTACACTTTCCAGTCCACACCGCAGACTGGTAACAAGGGAAACATGCACAAGACTGTTCAAATAATCTATTGCAGAAAGGTATTGTGCGTGACTGCATAACCATGTGTTTTGACATCTGTACCAAAAACATACGTGTGAGCATTCGGGTTCGTGGGCTTCATCTTGTCAGTCTACACTAAACATGACAATTTGAATACCCTCTGGTAAACTAACATAACTATGGAAAATCACCATTTTAAGTGGGAAAATCCACTATTAATGGCCATTTTCAATAGCTATTTTGACAAAACCAGAGGGTAAACCCATCAGTAGCGCATCATTACCCCGCTATTCTCCCATGATGGGATTGCAAAAAATCTCCAGGAGCCTGCAGAATCAGGCGGCAAAGGCATCGCCAGCAAGGAACCGCCGGGGAGATCTCCCGGCGTTCGATGGCAACTTTAGTGCTACTAGTGCTATAAACGGGGATTTATGGATTGATTGATATTTATAATATGTGATATAGACATGATACTGACCAGCAAGGGTATCTAAGATTGACCATATGTCTCAGTGTAAAAAAATGCAGTGAGTGACAGCACCGTGCAGGCATCTTGCAAATGATTGTGGAGACAGACAGAACTCTTACAAATCTTCGATATGTTACCGTTCATGGTAGAATTTTGAGATTGGTGTCGGTTATTTTCCCTTGTTTATTGCTTTCTACCCTGACTTACGCAGTTTAGGTGTGCCACGGGTTTTTAGTTGACCATCAACTCTGTCCAAATGACTTCCACGGTGGATGTCATGGATGGCTCTTATTTGGTGGTTTCAATCATGCTTTATTTATGTCCTATTTATTTGCCATGAGCCAAATCGATGAGTATATTTTTTGGGATCAAATTGATCAAACCACTAGCCAGTATGGCCATTTATCAGTTATAAGTACTGACAAGTCACCCCATTTATAGAATGTATAATCCCATAGAAATAACCACTTATAACTGGGAGCCATGGCCATAACTGTAGCCAGTATGATTTTCGACAAATGAATGGCTTTTTTGGTGCAGTTTTTCAGCCACTTGCAGCCACAACAAGGCCAAGGGGCGAAAAAGGGCTGTCTCTAGAAGGTGCTTTTCCCCTTTGTTGATGTTACCCTCTGGTTATGTCAACGTAGCTATTGAAAATGGCCATAGAAATAGTGGATTTTCCCATGAAACATGGTGATTTTCCATAGCAAACTGTTAATTTACCAGAGGGTAACCCATAGAATTAGATGGGCATAATCATCGGAATAGCTTATCATCCCAAGTAGTTTGCCTAATTTATCCTAATTGAGTCAACCTATCGAACTAAATAAGTTAGCCATGAACTCGCATAGGTCATTATGGAGCAGCACCAAGGTTCAATCTCCCAATTTTGGTTCACCATTTCTCACGACCAACTTGATTTGAACTACCAGAAATGACCAGCGTTTAGTCACCATTCAGTCGCCATGTATTCAGTCTTGGTCAATGACCAACGATTCCATGTCTTGGTCAATGGCGACTGACTGTACATTTTTGGTTTAAGTCACTAATTCACTGCATTTACTATTGAAGTCTTGGTCAATGACCAATGATTCCATTACCAACAATTATTTTTAAACAAAACATGTCATGGTGAATGCAGCTCAATAGTGAATGGTCACTATTATTGACCCTGAGCTGTTAATGATGTCCATTAACTCGCACATTTTTCTCAAATATTATAAAAAGTCCGGACATATGGGGGTGCTATGGTTATCTTACCCGGTCAATAAATGATCAGTTCCAAAAAGCTATTGGCACAAGATTGGCACCAAAAACCTTCAACAACTTAAAACAGCAGGTTATTTATTTTTCAGTTCAGAAAGATTGAGGCTTAACAGCGACAGATTAAGTTGTTATAAGTTTGCTGTGAAACAGCTGGACAAAAAGTTCTGGCGTCTCCACCTTGTCAGGAACCAAGTGAGCCCGACACAAAACGCGGCTCCAAAGAGGTGCAGAGGGGCAAAGTCGCCACATTGCTAATGTATATATATATATAGTTATATCATTATATATATCTATCTATCTAAACTACTTATGAACCTTATTATGTAAAAGTGTTCTATGTCAAGTTTCTACAGATTTTCGGAATTTCATTTAATCATATAGGTGGTTAAACCTCTACGGAAGCGTAACTGTAACGACCCCACCACGACCGCCTGCATGAGGAGGCCAGCACCACCACCATGCTTCGAGGCCAGTGATGATGAGGAACTCGACCGCCTGTATGAGGAGGCCAGCACCACCACCATGCTTCGAGGCCAGTGATGATGAGGAACTCGACAGGACGCTGTGGGGTTGCGATCTGTTGCAGCGGGGAATACCTGGGGATGAACCATCCAATACATGTGATTTAAACGGATTTAAATAAATGAACTTAATGGAATAGAATCGGATATAACATTGCTTAAAATGGCAAAGTGATCAAGTTGACTTTCTTTAGATGGAGGGTTTAATCAGTCTCAACCTGTTTCCTTGCTATTTTTGACAGTAAGCCTATGTCCCCTTTGAGTTTATAGTCCAGCAGGGGATTGCAGCTACACGGGATATGCTGAGAATGTCGGGGTCCAAACCATATAGCATTCATGCTCATGCATCGCGTATCATCACCTGTAAGCCTGTTGTGAGTGAAAGTAAGTTTCCTGGGTAAGTGGCATGGCCCATGGCGAACGTGGCACCAGGACCGGCTTTGGTGGACGTGTTCCTGTGGCTATGCCAAGGAGCCTCCCCTGGTTGCCATGCATAATTTCACAATATTTCACATTTACCGATGATTTTACCATTAACAACATCCATTTTTAGGAGATTTCCTGCCATGTTTACCGCTGTGTCACTGAGCTGACCTCGCCAACGGTGTCTGGACATATGGGGGTGCTATGGTTATCTTACCCGGTCAATAAATGATCAGTTCGAAAAAGCTATTGGCACAAGATTGGCACCAAAAACCTTCAACAACTTAAAACAGCAGGTTATTTATTTTTCAGTTCAGAAAGATTGAGGCTTAACAGCGACAGATTAAGTTGTTATAAGTTTGCTGTGAAACAGCTGGACAAAAAGTTCTGGCGTCTCCACCTTGTCAGGAACCAAGTGAGCCCGACACAAAACGCGGCTCCAAAGAGGTGCGGAGGGGCAAAGTCGCCACATTGCTTCTGTATATATATATATATATATGTATGTATGTATGTATGTATGTATCTTTCTATCTATCTATCTATCTATCTATCTATGTATCTACCTATCTATCTATCTATCTACCTATCTATCTATCTATCTATCTATCTATCTATCTATGTATCTACCTATCTATCTATCTTTCTATCTATCTATCAATCAATCAATCTATCTATCTATCTATCTAAATAAACTATTTATGAAGCTTATTATGTATATGTGTTCTATGTCAAGTTTCTACAGATTTTCGGACTTTCATTTAATCATATAGGTGGTTAAACCTCTACGGAAGCGTAACTGTAACGACCTCACCACGACCGCCTGCATGAGGAGGCCAGCATCACCACCATGCTTCGAGGCCAGTGATGATGAACTCGACAGGACGCTGTGGGGTTGCGATCTGTTGCAGCGGGGAATACCTGGGGATGAACCATCCAATACATGTGATTTAAACGGATTTAAATAAATGGCCTTAATGGAATAGAATCGGATATAACATTGCTTAAAATGGCAAAGTGATCAAGTTGACTTTCTTTAGATGGAGGGTTTAATCAGTCTCAACCTGTTTCCTTGCTATTTTTGACAGTAAGCCTATGTCCCCTTTGAGTTTATAGTCCAGCAGGGGATTGCAGCTACACGGGATATGCTGAGAATGTCGGGGTCCAAACCATATAGCATTCATGCTCATGCATCGCGTATCATCACCTGTAAGCCTGTTGTGAGTGAAAGTAAGTTTCCTGGGTAAGTGGCATGGCCCATGGTGAACGTGGCACCAGGATCGGCTTTGGTGGACGTGTTCCTGTGGCTATGCCAAGGAGCCTCCCTTGGTTGCCATGGACAATTTCACAATATTTCACATTTACCGATGATTTTACCATTAACAACATCCATTTTTAGGAGATTTCCTGCCATGTTTACCGCTGTGTCACTGAGCTGACCTCGCCAACGGTGTCTGGACATATGGGGGTGCTATGGTTATCTTACCCGGTCAATAAATGAGCAGTTCGAAAAAGCTATTGGCACAAGATTGGCACCAAAAACCTTCAACAACTTAAAACAGCAGGTTATTTATTTTTCAGTTCAGAAAGATTGAGGCTTAACAGCGACAGATTAAGTTGTCATAAGTTTGCTGTGAAACAGCTGGACAAAAAGTTCTGGCGTCTCCACCTTGTCAGGAACCAAGTGAGCCCGACACAAAACGCGGCTCCAAAGAGGTGCGGAGGGACAAAGTCGCCACATTGCTAATGTATATATATATATATATATGTATATGTATGTATGTGTGTATGTCTGTATGTATGTATGTATGTATGTATGTATGTATGTATGTATGTATGTATGTATGTATGTATGTATGTATGTATGTATGTATGTATGTATGTATGTATGTATGTATGTATGTATGTATGTATGTATGTATGTATGTATGATGCATGCATGCATGCATGGAGCATGTATGTATGTATCGTAATGTATTGTAATGTTAAGTATGTAGCGTAATGTAAGTATGTAATGTATGTAATTGTGAGGTAATGTATGTAAGTAGTAATGTATGGTAGTTGTATTGTTAAGTATGTAAGTAATGTGTAATGTAAGTAATGTAATAATGTAATGTTAATGAATGTAATTGGAATGGTTAATGTAAATGTAATGTAATTGTAATGTATGTAAGAATGTATGTAATGTAGTGTAATGTATGTAATATATGTAATGTATGTAATGTAATGTATGTAATGTATGTAATGTATGTAATGTAATGTAATGTAATGTAATGTAATGTAATGTAATGTAATGTAATGTAATGTAATGTAATGTATGTATCTATATATCTATCTATCTATCTACCTATCTATCTATCTATCTAAACTATTTATGAAGCTTATTATGTATATGTGTTCTATGTCAAGTTTCTACAGATTTTCGGAATTTCATTTAATCATATAGGTGGTTAAGCCCCTACGGAAGCGTAACTGTAAGGACCTCACCACGACCGCCTGCATGAGGAGGCCAGCATCACCACCATGCTTCGAGGCCAGTGATGATGAGGAACTCGACAGGACGCTGTGGGGTTGCGATCTGTTGCAGCGGGGAATACCTGGGGATGAACCATCCAATAGATGTGGTCTAAATGAATTTAATTGAATAATATCGGATATATTCGCATTGGTCAAAATGGCAACTTGACCAAGTTGACTGCATTTAGATGGCGGATTCGATGTTAGCCGAACTAAGTGTCCTTGGTAAATGGTTTGATTCACACGTTTGAAAAGGCTCTGCACTGAACAATGATTATTGTGCCAATGATAAGATCATACTGAGCCCTTCTTCGGCTGGAAATTTGATTTGAATACATATTATGTTTCAGTCACAAAGACAATGACAGACACTTAAATTCAAAATACAGTTTTGGGTCATGCAGCGAATCTAGAGCTTCCCATCCGGGGAAGTTGCAAGCAATCCAACCATGATCGAACTACATTCAAACTTTGACCCACATTCTGGATCGGATTCAAGTCAAAACCATTGAAAGAAAAGCACTTAGATCCTTCACATATCCATAACAAAAAGATAAAGAATGATAAGAGTCCCAAAAATCATGGCTTTTGAGGGGAAATTACCACAGATCCATACATTTCCCAGGTACTTGGCCGAAGAGTTGATAACCCACTCTGCTGCTAGTTGTTCAGAGATAACACCAGGGGTACTGTACCTCATTGCTATCTGGAGATATCTACAGATCTTTAGTGTATTTGTATACTGAGATCTATATTGGTTTTGAATCAATAATTCATATTCGATTTCAAATCCTTAACTTACAGAGATATATCTATAGTTGAGATTTCCAGATATTTCGAGCCCGCTTTCGGAACTGCTACGGCAGGACCGGCTTCAGCGGAACCGGCGGACGTGTTCCGATAGCTCCAGCTATGCCAAGGAGCCTCCCCGTGCTTAGGTGCTAACACCAGGAAAATGGCGATACCTCAAAGAATAGCCTGGGGTGAAACTAACCTAGATGTGGTGAAAAACCAGAGATCATCTTGAACAAGTCACATTCATTTACATTTACATTCATTTACATTACATTCATTTACATTACATCTATCCCAGATTACATTCACTTACATTCATTTACATGTCCCCAGTCGCCACAGGACACCAGAGCGCCCGACGCCTGATCTGGCTCTGAGGTTTTGCCCTCAATTTGTGGACTCCGTGGTGACCAGACGCCGCGTTCTCCAAGAACTCGTTAAATGATGGGATTTGGAAAACCCCAAATCCCCAGAGTTATGGCCATTTACCAGTTATAAGATGTTATAAGTGGTTATTTCTATGGGATTATACATTCTATAAATGGGGTTATAAGTACTTATAACTGATAAATGGCCATAACTGCAGATATGTCAGGTGATGTCAAGTTAGTGAATTGACGGAACTTATTTCAGCCAGACCTCTGCAAGATGCCCCCCCCCCAAGATATAATTTCGCTGACTAAATTGCGATGTATGTATGCCCCACCAAAATAAATCTCAATCAATCAAGACATAGTGCCCTGACAACATTTGTTTGTTGCACCCAACATGACTGGATATGACCATGTTATATGATATTTATATGATACACTTCGTTGGTGGAATGGTCCCCGATTCTGGAGCCTTGTAGTATTTAACGCTGTGCGATGTTCTGAGTGTTTTTGGGTGAACCCCCCCAAAGAAAAAACAGCTTATCTCAACACTAAAAACAGGAACCTATGATGATATACAGAGCATAGTTTCTACTTATCATATACCTACGATCTGTTTCTATACCTCTTTTATTTCTATAAAAGACCATATATCTTGGTAAATTTACCCAGATATATGATCTATAAAACCGCGCCATTTTGAGGACTTGTGAGGACGGCGGACCTTTGCAGCGGACCCCGGATTCCGCACCTGCCAGGACGTACGGACGATGGGCCCCAAAATGTTCGGTTTCACGTGGGTAGTAAAACTAGGTCGACTTCATGGGATTTAGTTGGCCAAACTGATTTGTTTTCGGGCGGTTTCTGGTACAGAAGATATGTCTGATAGAATTCATGGGGTTTTAACACATAACTATAGTTAAGGTGGAAATTATAGTTATTACAAACCATGATAAGATATAGATTACCGTAAGTAGTTTTCTTAAGGGGCTGATAGTCAGCAACTTCTTGGCCCACCTCGAAGCCATGGAGCCCATGGAGTTGATGGCAGCCGTTTTAAATTGAAGTATTTGCAGATGTCCCATGTATACATATAACTGGCTCAAGGACATATGACTGGCTCAAGAAAAATCAAATACTACGAATTATTTAAATCATATAAGTGGCCGAAGAACTCAAGAAATTCATGTGCTTATGCATGAAAAATACGACCTTGCAAATCCAAATGTGGGTCGAAACCAAGGAAACAGCCGGATATCAGCCGGGTATGAGAATCCCAAGCTGCCAGAAACAAGTGGCTTCCATCTGAGCTCTTTGTAGGGGTACCCTGCTCTGGATATCGGAATTGACAAGCAGGGAGGATGGCTCAGTGAACCGGCTGATGTTTAATGATTGTTGGTGGATACGTCAGTTTATGTAAGTCATGAAGTGGCTGTGGCTCAAAAATTATCTACACCAACAATTGGGCTGCTCGACTTTAAAAGCAACAATATGTTTTGTTTCCTAAGTTGAGACGGTTTCCATTGATTGATATTATTCAAGGGGTTTGGAAAAGATCAAGCATTCCCGATAGCATTTCTCCATTCAGCAATGGTAGATATCTCCACCTTAAACCCAACGGTTATTGTAGGTAGCCAACAGAAACTTATCATCAACCAACCTAATAATTCCTATCCGGCTGCTGGTCACATCGCAATGTTTGATGTTTTATGTGTTTGTGCTTACACCAGCCAAAACTCGGCTGGGGGTTAGATTTTGAATGGATTCTTTCTTTTCCGCCATGGGATCATGATCTCCAACTTATGACTATGTTGAGGTTGAAACTGCCCAGCAACTATCAACTGGGTGCCCCACTACCCCTAAGATCAGCTTAGACTATGTTAGACTATGGTTGGACTATTTTCTGACTACTGGGTAGTCGTTTTTGATTGACTATAGACCATAGTTAAATATAGTTAACCTAGCTATAAGCCAGAACTTAGCTAACTAAATCCCAGTTGATCCCATCAAATCCCACGAAACCCCATGAAACCCGATGAAATCTCATTAAATTACCATGAAATCCGGTTAAATCCCAGTAAATCCCATTAAATCACCATTAAATCCCCGTAAATCCACATGAAATCCCATTAAATCCCGTCAAATACTATGGAAAATCCCATCAAATCCGAGGGGATCCCATAAAATCCGATGGTATCCCCATGAATTCACCAGGTTCTTTTGTAGTCATCGAGTTTCGGGCACAGGACGCCGAGTTCACCACCAATGGAGACACCCATGAGGTGCGAGGGCCAACTCAATGGGAGAAGATGGGGATTTCATGGGATTTTCCATGGGATTTAGTGGAATTTCATAGTTTTTTTGGTTGGGATTTCATGTTGATTGAACGTGATTTTCCATGGGATTTTTCATGGGGATTTCCATGGGAGCTTGATGTATTTTGACGGATTTGACGGGATCGAACCGTTCGGATTCCATGGATTGCAACGAAGCTATTGGGGATTTCCTGTTGATTTACCCTCTGGTTATTCAACGTACCCTCTGGTTATGTCAACGTAGCTATTGAAAGTGGCCATTGATAGTTGATTTTCCCATTAAAAATGGTGATTTTCTATAGCTATCTTAAATTACCAGAGGGTAGCTGTGGAAAATGGATGAAGATGACCTTTTTAACATGATCAACTGGCCGCCATTTACCGTTCTAAAAAAATGTGATTCTCAAGGTAGCGAACGTTAAACAACCAGAAGCTAAATAACTAATACATGGTGATTTGATGGCGCTTTTTTTGGATTAATGGAAATACAGCTTATAACCATCAATATCTACTAACATGTGGGATTGTTCGAAAATGGCGTATACCGTATGTACCCGTTAAATAGATGGAATGGGGCACCATTTTTTTAGACAAACCCGGGTGGACAGATGAGATGCGAAATGCTAATGTTTGAACTGGAATAACTGGTACAGCTTCTCGTGAATTACATTATCTACACAGGCCTGGTTGTGAACTCAGATGGTGTTATCCTGTTTATAAATGTTTATAAATGTTCGTAAATGTTCATAAATGTTCATAAATGTTTATAAATGTTTATAAATGCTTATAAATGTTTATAAATGGAGTCTCGATGCTGTGTGATTGCTGACCGGCTACCTGTTTGTGGGATGGGCATCCAAGTTGCGTTGCTGCAGAAATGGTGGGTTTGTTCGAGCTGGAGTTATTTCCTATTTAAGTTTATTCCTCAATGAATATATTAGTCCACTTCTACTAATTGTCATTTGTTCATTGATTCTGATTCAAAGATCAGTCTTGAAAGATACCTCAAACATCTTCAACAGCTCTCTTCGGCCTTCCAATAGCCTGGGGTAGCCTTTGTGCGAAGGACGAAACACACACACACACATACATACTATATATATATATATATATAGAGATATAACAACCTACATTCAACAAAGAACACGTTATACCTTACAGCCCAAACGGGCCAGCTTCAAAATGTAATTCATTTGACCTGGGGCGCGGAGGCACTCACTTCCTGGGTCTGCACCGAGACGACAACAGGAATCGCAGGCACCCGTCATCAGGACAGCATTGGAGGGCTTGGAGGGTTTGGATGGACCGAGAAAGTCAGATTCTGTCAGCATTTAGATCAGGAAATTATGGCAATATAGTCTAATATAATCCCATTTGATGAATTCCTGTTGGTGTTTCATTAATTCCGATAAATGTTGGAATATGGTGTTCCTTTCAGATGATCCTTTGGAACACCGTGGTTTCGTCCTGTTTGAGGCACTTGAAGCGGATCAAATATGAACATTTTTTGTTGCAATCTCTGGGATCTCATATGCCAAGTTAGATTTTGGAGGTGTGTATCAATACGTAGTAAATAAGTCACTAGGTCCATGTGCGATTTTCTGGTTTCTTCGAAGGGTGTGCCATTTGCAAAGCGGAAATGTTGC